TTTGTGTTATAAACATTTATAAAAAAAATGATAGAATTAAATTAAAGAACCCAAAAAGTAAATAAATAAATAATTTTAATAATAATATGGATAAACTAGTCCCTTACTCAGACATTGTTTCATTTAGTATACATTTTTATTTCATCTTCATTAACGCGACATGAACGATTTTCTTCCATATACATATGTAAATATGTATATAAAAGTGTAGGTAAACGACTTTAATAACTTAATTTTATTTCCTTTTTAATGACAATGAGTTTTCTGTTTGAATTGGGTACATATCTACCGATAAACTTAATAATAAATTTTTAATTTTCATTGTTTTTATTATCGTCGAGTACAATTTCATTTAAATATTTTCCATATGAAATATTTCTTCAATGAAAATCTTTAAGGAAATGCTACTTTGGCGCTCAAAAAATCATAAAAAAATAATTTTTATATTTAAAAAAAGAAATAGTAAATTTCACTATTTTTGTACAATATATTGTGTACGGCATAGTGCAGTAACGAAAATAACTATAAAGTGAGTACTCACACTCTATAAAAAAGTCAACCTTAACCACTTACATATATAATATAATTTTTCATATTAATTTTTTTTTTTTTTGTTATTTTAAGCTCTTAAGCATTTTGTAACCCTTATTCCTTTTGGCATTTTATTTTTTCGTTAAAGTAATGTAAGTAATTCAATTTTTTATTATGAAGCAACTACACACTACTCTTGTATACTGACCTATGACAGTTACTTCACCGCTACGCCTTGCACTATGTCCTTGTTTATTGCGTGCCCAGCAAGTGTACACACCCGAATCAGTATTTTTCTGTACTGGACTTATGGTCAACGAACCATCTGGCTGAACACGCTGACGTATATCATCGGGCAGTTCACGTCCACCGCGCTCCCAGTGTATTTCCTCAATGGGATAACCAGCAACAGGACATTTCAAATTTAATGTTTCACCCGAAACTGCAGTCACTTTTGGTATTAAGCGTATGTAGGGTAGACCTGCAATAAAAACCAAAATAAATTAGCATTGCTGTATGATGGAGATTTGCTCATACATATCTGCAATTAAGGATATGTATGAATGTATGTAACTTAAGCTGGTATTAAATTTGTTATGTGAATTAAAAATTATACATTTTAAAAATAATAAAAAAAAAAATAAAATAAAAATAAGTAATTTTTATCCTTAAGCAGTGCTAGCACAGAACAATCAAGAAGATGTGTTATTAAAAAATAAAATCCTGATTCATGACAAAAATGGAAAATCCTTCCGAAAACTCTTACAGCACTGAAATGCTAGTGTAGAACATTACAAAATAAAAATATGAAAAAAAAGAAAATAAGAAAAAATGATAAAAAAGAGGAACAAGCAACGCCAAAAGCGTAGCAATTTAAAATAAAAGAGCTGTTAGGAAAAATCTGCCATTCTTAATGCTTTTGCTGTCCACATTTAGCATAAAATATAAAGTAAAAATAAATAAATGCAGAGAAGAGAGGAAAAAAAACTTTAAAGCAGGATATGTCAGTATAGTATGCACACGTAAAAAGTATCCACATTTCTGTGAAGTATCTTTCTGCCTCAGTGTATGTACTTATGTCACCGACAAGTTGATATAAATGTTGTATGGGGATACGTTGCGACCAGGATATTCTGTCCTCATAACTCTTTCTAAAATGCTGCGGCAGTGTAACATATGAGCTTGGATGAGTTTGCGTGTGTTTGTTAGTATTTTTGCTTATAATCACAGTCATTATCATCAGCGTAATCAACATCAGCATTTTTCTATTCAAGCTTCCGTAATTCGCTGTGCTTCGCAACGTCACAGAGTAACAAAACCGGCACAAATTGTTCATCCTTCCAAGCATTTTGTTTATATTTATCCTTTTGCAACAACTTTTTCCTTTTCATTCCCATTTTTTTTTCGTTTTTTTTTTTTGCTTTAAAAATTTACATTTTTAATGTTTGTGAGGACAATATTGTTTCATTTTAAATTCCAACAGTTAATTCTAGTATGTTAGTTTTTTTTTCTATGAAGAATTATTAGCTGCATTTATACATTTTTAATAAAAATTAAAAAAATAATTTAAATAAATGGATTTGTTGAAATATCCTTTCCATATTTGAATTGATATTTAAATGAAATTATTTTTCAACTTCACTACACTTCACTTCACTGCTGCTTGCTGTCTACAATAAAAGAATTCTGCATTATAATAAATAAACCATTGGAAATGAAAAATATTTTAAGAGGAAATGAGAAATACGTTTTGTTCGCCTGCGACTGACAACACTGAAATTTGCAACTCAATGAATTAACCTATAACTGAAATCAACTTGCGGCTCAATATCCGTAACATGATGAAGTATTTTCAGTTATACATTCGTGCAAGTATACTTATAGATATACTATATTCAGCTGAAATACAGCTGAAGTACAAACATTTCACATTATTGACAGTAAAGTTTCATTAAACTTTTATTATTTTTACTCAAAAGCTATGAAAATCTTTTGTTTGTATTTAATTTAACATAAAGGAAACTTTTTGCTTAATGCTCAGAACATTTTCACAAAAATTTTAATTAGTGAACCGAATTCACCATCTACTCATATAATTTCTGCTGCGGACATTAATGGATTCAGATAGACATATATGTACTTAAAAATATGTATAAGTTTACATAAACTTTATAAAAATTATAATATATACAATAAAAATTTTGTTCAAATGTGTGTGTATTATTGCCTATAATTAATGTTAAAATACTTTATTCATATATAAGGCAGTAACTTATAACTCATAATAAAAAATCCCATTTTTTTCTCTTGTGTTTACACTTAAAACTTAATTTGAGCAATAACTGGTAATCTGTATCGATGTTCAGTTATTTGCACAGAAAAATCATCACTGCATATATGAAGTAATGGAAATGACAGTTCATTATTAACGGATTCATGTTCATCACTGAAAAACATAAACATTTTATAGTAAACCTTTAAGTATTCCACTATTAAAAATTTGAAATTCAATTGAGAGTTAACACATAGTATATATACTGAAATTAGTTGTATAACATATATATATATAAATTTATTACTATATTATATAGTAGCAGTATTATTAGTAGTCAATTAAAGCTTAAAATACGTATAAGCTATAAAATATGTGGTTAGGTGAAAGATCTTTGCTGCGTTAGCAAAGGAGCATAAAGGTTCAGTTAGTCGGTACGTACCGTAAAAACTTAAGTTAAAGCGAAATGCAAAACTACCTACAAATACCTGTGTATTTGTTAGTAATGAAACAAATAAAAACGGCGAACTTGGTTTATTCGATTTCTATCAACTACACAGAAATGGTTGGTTGTGCATTTCGCTTCGACTTAAGTTCTTACGGTACTTACCGATTAACTGAGCCTTAAGTCAACTATTTATTAATAATTTTTTCTACTATAAAATATGTTCCATTCAAATAAGCATTTAAATTTCAAAAACTCTTAATTTTTAAAGGAAATAATTGAAATGACCATTATTTAATTATAAATAACTCTATTTCGAAAACCCTTTGTAACAGAATTTTCTAAACTGTATTGAGATAGACTCTTACTAGATGGATAGCGTTGTTGTTGTTGCAACCCGCAGGGATCTAGATAGCAAATAACATGAAAGAATTTATAAGACGAAGACGTGGGTTAGAATGTGAATATATAATGGTTGATTGAAAGTAGGGACGCCGAATTACGGAGTAGTAGTGGATTGGTGATGAGTGGTGTTTAAATTTAAATCAACTCGGGTCCAGACGGAGAAACCTGGTCATTTCAATGGGATGGATCCAAAGATCAATTGCATGGAGGTTTGCGTGTGTACTGTGTCAAGTGAACAGTTGGACGACGTTATGGGTGGAAGAAGAGTAGTTTGGGCACAGATTAAATGGGTGATAAGTAACTATTATTGGCTATATACTAAACTGAGTTAGAAATTTTTTGCAGAATGGGGAATCGTCGTTCTTCCTGATTGATGTTGGGCGGGGGACTGCTGAAAATTGTTCTTGGATCAACCTTGGTCTTCAAGTGGATACTGCATATTTGTGGAGGACTGTAAGTCTACGTTTATACATAACTTCACTAATGTAAACTCCATTACAAAAGGTATCGATTTATCGATGATAAGAAAAGCTGAATCGACGGATGCATCTTGTACAAAAAGCTCTACTGAACATTTCTGTCTATCTGGCGTATTGTTTACAAGTATTTGATCTATCTGTGTTATGTATTCTATCTATATTTGGAATACATTAAAAAGAAATAAATTCTTATCTATAAATCGTTTCGACGATGTGCTGGTGAATCGCCTTGTCGAAGTTCCGCTGAATTTAATCGTTTCGCTAATCGTTTCAGCGATGTGCCGGCGACTCGTTTTGGCGAAATTACGGCTAATCTTTTCGGCGATATGCCGGTTAATGCTTTCAGGGATGTGCCGGCGACTCGTTTCGTCGAATTTATGGCTAATCTTTTAGGCATAATGCCGATAAATAGTTTGGGTGAAGTGCCGCTAATAATTTCGGCGATGTGCCGGCGAATTCTATCGAGCATTTTGGCGATGTGACGGCTAATTGTTTCGGTGATGTGTTGGCAAATTTTTTAGAGCATATCGGCGAAGTGACGGTTAATTGTTTCGGCGATTTGCCAATGAATTGTTTAACGATTCACCCACTCATTTTAACTAGGCTTACTATATATTTTTTGAACAATGTATGAGTAAGAATTGAAAAAAATGGTGTTGAAATTTTTTTAATCATTTAAGAAGCGATACACAGCATATACTAAATATAATTAATATAAATCATTTTTAATGCAGTCACCGTTTCAAATATTAGTGAACTCAACTAGAATTTGAAGCAATGTCAATAAGACAAATATTCGCCGCTATATTTATTGGGTTTATGCAAAATTCGATCAATTTTATCACAACCACAAATAAAAATATTAGTATAAATACGTATGTACTATCTTCTGTACTTCTATTATATAGTCATTTTAGACCATAATATATGATGTGGTTTCGTTATCAGTACAAAAAAGGTTTAAGGACATTTATGTCAGTTTGCAAATTATTTGAATTTTATATTTATATATAAAATATTACATTAAAAATTCAGATTCAAAATCAAATAAAAATTTTATTAAACATAAAGTGATGTAAAAGCTTTATGATACACATTTTTAAGGTTTTCATTTTTATTGTATTATTTCTCTTAGGCAAATTTATGCAAATATGAACAAATGCCATAAAAGTTAAAACGCTAGCTGAAATCCTTTACAAAATTGCATATCAACCAAAGCAAATACGAAATCATTCTAGTACTTTTTTCCATATATGCATGTATCTAAGAGTGTAGCGGCATGTATATAAAACTGGAAGAGTATGGAACAGCTATTCCAAATATATTTCCGCTATGAGCACAATTCTATGCCAACAATTTGCATTGAATTGTGCTGCAATGCAATCATTTTTCCCGCACAAATCGGATGCACTAATACTCGCACATTTATCATTTATGAATTTATAACACAAAAAAATAAACGAATATAAATTCAAATCCAAACAAATAAAAAATATCAAATGGAAATTTTTTCTATAAAACAATGGGCGTGTTAGAATAATAAAAACTGGCGCAGGTAATGTGGAACTGCAAAAGGAATAAACTCGGAATGAAGCGATTGGATTCCACAGTGCCTCACATTTGAATGTGTACACACTTCCGTTTCGTGTTCCACTTCCTGCTCAATAAAATGCACATAAAAACCTTTGATTAGTTTATTTTATAGGTCCTCGTGTCGATAACACACCAGTTAAAGATAATTCAATATTTGGAATGCCAATAATTTAAAGTCGTAAACATTCGGTATCGACTAAAGATTTTATTATCTTAGAAATTATGGGTTAAGGTTTAGCAAAAAAAATAACTAACAATGACTAAAAATGGAACGAAACCAATCAATGCATAAATGAAACCAAATAAATCTGATTTCAGTAAATAAAGAGTGTTCACACGACACTACCTCGGCACTTGCTGTGCAAATAAAGTAAATAAAAAATTGCATTTAAATGACTTTTTATGTACATTTTTGTTGCGTTAAAGTTTTTTATTTTGCATTCTCAAAAATGTGATGTGGCATAAAAAATTAATAAAAGTAAAAATAGGTTACAAATCGTATAAGCAAATAAACGAGAGGACATACTACTCTGGGACAGGAGGAAACTGTCTTCGGACTACAGCAGTTCGGTTTCACAGTGCATTTGTTTTGTCATACTTCTTCCTTTGCCATTTTTATTGCCTTTTTTTTGACTATTTTCTCCTCTATTTTTTTGGATTTTATGGGAAAAACATAACTGCTAACAAAGGACTTACGGCACACATTTCTGTACTTGTGATTGCCTATTTTTGTTTGCAAGGATTTGTGTATGCGTAGAGCAACGTACTGTAGTTTGGAAAAATTTTACTTGAAATGCAACAACAGAAATATTAAATCCAAAAATACAAAAAAAAACAAGAAAAAAAAGAATTCCATTTTAAACTGACACAAAATGTTTGTCCGAGTGTCTGTGGAAGGTACTCGAATCTGCAAACGTTGCGAATATTTCCCACAATAAAAGCAAACTGCCGTGTTCTCGTACCAGACAAAACGTTGACACTTTATCTTTGTAGGTCAGTAAAATGTCAGCTGCACTCGCCAAACCGACAACGAATGACTTCAATTTCATTACAAGAAAATGAATATCAAATACAAAAATTGTACTACGGATGAACGCTTTTTATCTGCATTTAAATGCAATTTAAATCACTTGGAAATTCCATAAAAGTTATTATTAAACGTTTTTTTTTATTTATATTAGAAAAATAAAATATAAACGTTTAAGATATTTCTGCTTACATTAAAAATTTATTAAAATAACATAAAATTTAAAATTAAGCAGTTATAACATTAATGTATAATACGGTAAGATACACGATACACCCACCGTTACGAGTAGAGATATAAAATATTCTTTTACTACCCAAGCTACAAGGTATGAAAATGAAAATTAAATTAAATCTATTTTTTTATAAAAATTTCTCAACATAAGCGTTAGAACATTAACTTAACAGTGCTGTTAACTGTCACCGACTTCAACTCAATCATTTTGTTCAATTATGACGTCTTGGCGTTCCTCCACCATTTAAAATATCTCTTTATGTTTTGTCACAATCTTGTGACGATGAAAATAGCGAGCCATATGAGTTTGATAAAAAAGTAATAATGATATAATACACTTAATGAACAAATAGAAATAATTTAAAAACAAAGTAATAATAGTTTGTTATTAATTAGTATAAAATTACTCGGCTTCACGTTAGACAAACGATTTATATGGTGTAAACATGTTCAACTGAAAAGAATTAGCTGTGCCAAAATTCTTCATCACCTCCAACCGCTATTTAGATATGAAAATCTCAATGCTAAGAACAGTAAACTGATATATAACGAAATAATTCGTCTGTTACTTCTATATGGATGTGTAGCATTTAGTAAAGCTTCAAACACTACTATTCGCCAGCTAGAAATTGCACAAAACCAGGCTGTGAGAAGACGTTTCAAAATGCCGTGGTACATTTGGACGAATGACATCCTCAAGAACCTCAATATTGATCCCATCAAAAAATACAGAAAGGATAGAGCCCTGAAATTATTTGCGAAAACTGACAGACTTGCCAACACCACGTCATCAAATCTCAGAATGGTTACAGGCTCTTCGGAGAGGTATGCAGATTAGGTCAATTATTGCTAAGTCTGATGAAGTGACAAACAATAATCCAGTCAAGGCGTAAAGAGAGGTTTTAAAAATATCTCCAGTTAAGCAAGAGTAAAAGTGCCCAAGTGCACTGGCTTAAATAGCTTCAACATAAGTTATGGTTGGTTGGTTGGTTAGTTGCAGTGGCAGGCCATTAGATAATTTCCATGTACTTCAGTTAGAGTTTTTTCGCCGTTTTGCTATCATTTTCACATTCCTCGCAAGAACCCCTAATATAGAAGACTAGAGACTAAATCCAACCCGTTAAATTTAAATAATTTAATGGGCCTCTCATCTTCACCGATGCACAGTCTGATATTTTCAAAAAAACTTATTTCTTTTGAACGCCAAAGCCGGGCATTACATTTACAGATAAAATGTATTATGGTTTATTTTTTCTGCGAGTTTTCACAACCACTGCAGTAAGGATTATGAGGAATGCGCAATTTCAGTGCGTGGGTTTCTATATGCCAATGACCAGAAAGAACTGGAGTGAGCCTTGCAGTGTTCACACTGTCTCTGTTGATAAGTTCCGAAGATCTAATTTCATTATGGGTAGGCCATGTTAACTTGAAAGTTGCATATGATTTAAGTGTTTTCCATCTGTTATTGGTAAGTTGAGAAGAGTAGAAGTAGGAAGTTCTCTTAATGATCTTTTGGATTATATAAGTCGGTACTGCAAGGAACGAAACCAGGGCAGCTATATCATTGTAGCATGACATTATTAACTATTTCAACTAGTTTTAGTTATTCTATATTTTGTATAGTATAATATAAACGGATCTTATGTGCTCTATATTCACATTTTTAAACACTCAGAGAGAAGACAGAAAAGCTTCAGTTAGTGTGTCTCAAAATCTAATCTCGTTATTAAATTCTAAAATAAAACTATCATTTTTAAATATGACATATCCATATCCTTCAACCATATTCTGCGAGTTAAGCCCAGATCAAGTTAGACCTAGAATAGAGCAAGCGTTTGCTACTTCTTTTTAACTCCAGTAGCCATCAATTTAACTGGACTGTAGCCTCTGAATTAAAGTGATGAACATATGAACAAAGACAAATAAGAATGTATATTGTAATCATTTGACTAAAAAATTTCTTTGGAAAGCTACGGTATAAGCATTTCCAATATTAAACCGAGGTTAAAATATCAGGTAACAGTTTTATAAATACAAAGAAAGCGGAAAAACATGACATATATTATTACTATTGATGTTAGGGGATATGGCACTGCGACCATCTGGTCTATTGTGCCCCCTTCTGAGCTAAGAGTAGGTCTTTAAGTCCTGTTGCTTCAACAAAACGTAGTATAAAACCTATTTTACAAAGTTTTATTCCTCTTCCAAACATGACATATAAAAGCGCAAAAAAAAAAAATAAGAACAGTCAAAGATGTTACTAAATAAAGGCGAGTCCAGTACGTTAGTTCTTAAAACTGACGCTTAACATACTCTTAATGATGCTATGAACTTACTAGTTATAAATGATAAGTGCTGTGCTCTAACACTTTATTTACTTTTTTGCATTTTAAAACCAATGAGCTGAGGAAATGAAAAAACGGAAACTAAATTTAACTTTATTTATTCGCCATTGTTTATTGCAATGCAGAATAAAATAATTTGTGACTATTTAGAATTATTTGTATTCATTTACCAGCAATCAATTACAAATATTTTATTATATAAAAATGCAATAATTTGTCATTGTTTCATACAACCATATACATACAACCATATAAGGCACATATTCACCATTCAAATATACATTTTATTGGCGGTTGTAAAAGTAAATGGCTGGTCTGCACAAAATGCTGCAGAAAATGCACATTTCAGAGATTTTTAAATGCCTTTGGAAATGTTTTTATGACCATAAAAGGCACATACCAACCCATAAAAAACATGTCGACAGAGTGAACATGTTTTCCTTTTATATATGAAATGTCATAAAAGTATTATGGAATTTTCAGATTTTTTCTCTATATTTTTGTTTTTTTTTTTTTTTGAACAAAAAGTGGAAATAAAAGCTAAAGTTTTACATTAGAACAAACCAAAATGAAATTATTGTGCATTTTTCTGTTGTACTTTACTTTTGTACTCACCATAAATATTTAAACGTGCCGCGTGCTGCACTTTTCCTGCTCGATTCTCCGCAATACACGAGTACTCACCGCCGTCCTCAACCATGACATGGCTAATGTTCACGTGACTAATTACATCGCCGTGGACAGTGATGTATTGTCCGATCATAAATCTGCAAACCCAAAGTAAACAAATGTTAACAAAAATACTTTTAAAGTAAGGTTATGTGTTCACATAAGATTCTTAATATAATTTATGATTTTTTTAAGTAAATTTAATTTATTATTTAAAAAAAAAAAATTTTAATATAATTTTTTAACAACAATTTTCACTTAAATTTTAAATTCTACCCAAGTTAAATGTTTCTCATATTTTCACTTCATTACACAATTTACAAAATAACACACACAAACAAAAATTTATCCTTATTATTTACACATTTAAAAGGACGACCTATCCCTGCTACTCTATGGCTTGCTTTTGGAGTGATGTTTTGCTCTGCGTTTATATTTTCACTAATTGGCCATTAATTAAGCTCAACCTCAACTTCAACATTTTGAAGCAAAAATGTAAAAATAATAACAATAATGCAGAATAAAATTAATTTACAACTTTATTATTGTGATTATTATTTTTATTTTATTTTTTATTTATTATTTTTTTTAATTTTTGTAAAAAAAACATTATATAATATTAATTGTTGAATATTGCTTTATAATTGATTTTTGCAATAAATACTGATTCTTCTCTATTGTGCTCATCCAGCCAAATTAATTAATTAATTAAATATTAATGAGATGTATTTTTAAAATAATTAACAACAAATACACCGAAATGAAAATAATATGAAATAAAAGCAAATAATATAAAAACAATAATTTCAATAAAAAATATGTACATTACATACTCTTAAAAAAAATATATAAGTCACAATACGTATAAAACTCATACTATATATGAATAATTTATATATAGTATGTATTAAATAATTAATACGTATACATATACTCCATTTAATTATGTCCGGTACCCTGGAGTAGACGAAGATGAAAGAAGTAGAATCTACATGTTCAAAAAATTAAAAATCATCGCCTGTCCATAGAGAATCATAGAGAAACAAACAGTCGCAAGATTACCCGTTCGATCGCCAAAGAGATGGCGTGAATTCTAGACATCTGGCTCTACAGAAACATAATAATTTGATGTGTCATAATTTTACATAAATATATCCAATTCAATTGTTGTGATAAAATAGGATTTAATCCTATAATAAAGATGAAGAAGAAATAACATATGGTATACAAAGACAGATTGCTCACCCACCCCTCACCACTTTTTAAACGCACATAATTTTAGTGTATTTTATATAATATATGTGAAATTCGATTTAATGCTGTTTTAAAGCACTATATTTTTTATTATTGTATGATAGTACTATATATAGCAAAAATGTTATAGCAAAAATTTAGAATGTTAATATAATATTATTTTGCACAATTAAATTTCTATCTCTGTACGCTTTCAACAAAATGTTTTGTATGAAAATATTACATTATAATTAAGTCACTTGCTTATGAAAAGTAGAAACATGATAAAAGTAATTGCGGTACTAATTGTTAAGAAATTGCGAAGTTCATAATTAACCATTGTATGTGGTTACAAAGTCTGTAGACTTTATTATTTATTTATAAAAAGCAAGTAATAGGACTTAATAAGCAGAACTTAAGTTACTTCAACAGTGCATTGTTTACTATTTAATGCAGTTTAGCTACTTTAATATTAAAATATTATCTTCGCTATAGCTTACAGGTACTTATACAAGATATGAATTCTACTACTTATTAAAAGTTTTTAAGAAATATACTAGTTGTAATTAAGCACCACTTTCACAAAAAAAGGAAAACCAGGTTTAAACTACTGGAGCTTAAGGTAAACTTCCAAATCAGTTCATTGGGTAAATTAAATTTTGTTGGTAGGTTATCATCGATTTACTGCATTAATACTTCAATCAATTAGATTATTATTACAACCTACTCGACCATATTTGAGTAGATGAAAAAATTTATCACAATAGATCCAATATGCAGAAAAAAAATTTATTCTTCATTAGGACAATATATGTTACCCATTCAAATCTCTTAAAAAACAATGACATACAATCAGTGAAGTGAAGTGCGATTTACTGGAATATTCGACCTATTTTCAAGACTTAATTCCTCACAACTTTTGACTTAAGTGATTATCGATGCTGTAAATCATATTTCATAAAATTCTTTTCTGGATTAAAAATTTTATGGAATGTAAAGATAACAGTTGAAATTAGGTAAGGCTTTGGAAAATCGTTGAATTTGCTATACGGAGGTTAGATAAATGATAATAAAAAATGAAGTGGTTTTTATAAAAACCATATTATAGGCAAATATATAATTGTCGATCATAAACAACAGCAACAAGTATGGTGATCGACGATCAATTGATCGATTCGAATGTAAATTATCTCTATTTCCATTTCGCAATCGTATTGAACAAATAGGTATATTAGTTTGTTATTTTAATAAAAATTATAAAACAAAACTTTCGAAATTTAAGCGAAATACTTCCAAAAATATGAATATAGGTCAGGTAAGGACATACCAGCGAACTTTAGGGGATACACTTACATCTATTGCGTCATTGCGTTACCGTATTCAGAAAAAATCCAGGGTTTAAAACTACCTAGAACCTTTGACAAAGGTTATAATGTTATTTAGTGGTAGGTATTGTAATTGATGAAGTTCCTCAAAAAAAGGCGCTCCTAAAATGTTGAGTCGCCGCTGTGCATAAGTTGAGCAAAGACAAAACAGATGAGATGCACTTTCATTGTCTTCCCCACAGCTGCGATATATATGATTGAAAGGGAGAATTAATCTTCTAGTATGGTTCCCTAGTCGGTACAATAGCCGTGTCATTAATATAACCTGAAGTCATTGTAGTAGCCTATAAAAAGAGAGCGATCTTACGTTCATAAAGAGTGTTGATGACAACAATTTTTATTAAAAAGTATTGAAGTTTGTCTTTCTGTTATAAAGAGGTTGAACAAAATTTTTGTTTACTTTTAGTTTGTTTAGACATCTGTACTTTTTCCTTATTAGGGAACTCTTCCAAATCTTCTAAGAAGTTAATAGCTTGCATACATAGTTTCTCATAAGTTACAACATATTAGTTGAGTGTTTAACTTGTATTTGAATAAATTCGTTATAGAGAGGTTCTTTTGTATGCCAAAATTTGTTTGCGTACCTGAAAAAACTTTGTTATGGAGAGGAATACGCTATAGAGATGTTCGTTATAGGGAGATCCGCTGTAGAGAGGTTCAAATATATGAAAATGGCTGTGTCTTCAAGAAAACTTCGTTATAGGAAGGAATTGGTTATAGGCAGGTTCGCTATAGAGAGGTTTGACTGTAATTGAATTTGGACTGACCATATAGCTGTTAAAATATAATAATTAGAAACACACAATTTCGTTGTTGTGATTTACTATTGTTTAAAAATTTCTCTATTAAAAAAAAATATTTAGTAATAAGTTCTTTCGTCGTAATTGACTTTAACAACATTGGTAATATAACAAATTGTTATAATTTTATTAATTTAACTATTTCATATATTTATAAAAAATATTTTGGTGCATTTTATAGTTATATATAAATTCAGGGTAGGAAAGCAGTAATAGTTAGTTATAAAAAAATAACTAAAAATAAGAAAAAATTTATGCACTGTAAGTGTTGTCTCTTTTCATATATTTTTCACCAGAAAAAAACTTCAGTTAATGGAAATTTATTATATAAATGTTTAATTAATTTATAGGTATCTAATTATCCCGAATCAAAAAAAAAAAAAAATTCCAGTACAAATTGACTTCAAATATTGAATTAATTAAAATTAAAATTTGTTGTTGCAATTCACTACTATTTAAAATACATACTATTAATAAAATTGTTTTCTTTCCTTATAATGGATTTTAAAATATTAAATTCAATTTAAAGTGTTTATATTACATAAAACGTTTTTAGTTTTGAAACTAAAGTCTTACATTTCCATAAGTTTATTTTGAAAATAATGTGGAAGAAAATAAATTTTCATGTGCAGCAAACGAATCAAAAAAAAAAAGTATCTTTTTCCAATTGATTTGTTTGTGGCTTAGCACTGAATATTATTTAAACATATTGCAAGAACGACAATTTTAGAAAAGAGTTTTTATCTGTGATTACTTATACAAAGTGGACAAATAAAAACCAAATGCATACGATGAATACAACAAACAATAGAGTTAGAAATGTAGAGAAAAATCGCATTTCGAATAGCAAGAAAGACTGTCTATAAACCGAACGACAACTGTGACTATAATACCAAAAGCAACAACAGATACTTCGACTATGGAGACAAGATGTAGCAGCCTATGGATGAAAAACTATGAAATATTTTACAAACAAAATGCCACAAACAAATTGACAACATAGCATTGCTAGACAGATCGACACGTAGACATAAAGACAAGCGGATAGACAGTTTCATACGAAAGTACAAATGTAGAAAATGCTACCGTTAAATAGAATGACAAAGTTTCGATATCTGTGCAAAGGCATGAGTGGTATTTTATCTTCAAAGCTGCATACTAAGCCAAACACAAAATAGCGATAAAAAAAAAACAAATTCATCGTATAGCAAGGGAAACGGAAGCAAAAACTCCAATAAAGGAAATCAGTACCAGAAAAATGTGGGTAAACAAGTATCTGAAGATTGCAGTTGCAGAAAAGTTGCAGAAACTTGCTTAATGCAACCATTAAGGCGTGTTGAAGCGTGCATAAATGCGTTCAAATTCGTGGACAAACTTTCTCCTCCATACACATGTTGACAATATCTAGTAAATTGTAGCTTTCAACTTCTAACTATCAAATAATAAACTTCAAAGTACCAGCACTAGCAGTAGCAGTAGCTGTGGATACAATAGCAATTTGCTGTACACACTTAAAGAAGCAAAGATAATAATGTGCTATTCTATTTGACATTCATTAGTACCACTACAAGCAGCTCCAAGCACTGAAAACAATACAAAAAAAGCAGTATTAAGCACAAAAGCCACAACTTAATCACAACTTAAGTTGCAGATACTTTGTCTGCATGTAGAAAGTGACTT